TTTTGCTTAATTGTTTTTTTAGTTATTTGATGCTTACTACTTAAATGGTCTATTAAGATGCCTGTTGAACTTCCATGTTGATATTTTTTACCACATATTTTACTTGTAATAACCTCTATTTGACATGTAGCAATTCCATCATTAGATACAAACCAATCTCATACCCAACTTCTTTTTTGTGACCCTCCTCTTTTTTTTGAATTTTATTTGAATTATTTTGATTATTTTCAATAGAACTTGAATCCATGTTTATAAATTTATTAAAATTTATTAAAAAATGTGAAAACTTTTTACAAAAAAAAAAGAGCGCGCATGTGAAAAAAAAAAGGATGTATAAATCAAAAAAAAGGAGTATGTGTAACAAATATTTTTATAAAACAACTAATCTTTTTTAAAGTTAGATAAAACAAAAGCTTTATATAGAAATTTTATAGAATAACTTAATTGTTTTACAAAAGCAGATCTATCCTTTTTTAATTAGCCATTTAAAGTGTGTGTAAATTTTACGCCAAAATTATTTTTGAATCAAAAAGTGAAATTTATCTATTTCTTTTATAATCTAAGTCGAAATCACAATCTAAGAAGGTGTCCCATAAAGAAAGGAAGCAAAAGGAATGATAATGGTGTTCCAAAGATAAAGAAGAAATAAAACAATTTCCCACACCATTTACCTTCATAACCCAAGCTGAAATCCAGATCCAGAAAGGCGTTTCTAAAGAAAAAAAGCAAAAGGAATGTTAATAGTATTTCAAAGACAAAGAAAAATAAAAAAAAACTATAAGAAAAGAAACAAAAGGAACGTTAATGACGTTCTAAAGATAAAAAAACAAAAACAATTCCACACTACCTTATCTTCATAACTCAAGCCGAAATCCAAGTCCAGGAAGACATCCCCTAAAGAAAAGTAAAAGGAACATTAATGGGGTTCCAAAGATAAAAGAAATGAAAACAATTTCCACATCACATTACCTTTATAGTCCAAGCAGAAATCCAGGTTTAGGAAGGCGTCCCCTAAAGAAATGAAGCAAAAGGAATGTTAATAGCATTCTAAAAACAAAGAAGAAATAAAAACAATTTCTCACATCACTTACCTTCATAATTCAAGCTGAAATCCAGACCCAGAAAGGCGTTCCCTAAAGAAAAGAAGCAAAAGAAATGTTAATAACATTCCAAAGACAAAGAAAAACAAAAAAAAACCACAAGAAAAGAAGTAAAATGAACATTAATAGCGTTCTAAAGACAAAGAAGAAATAAAAACAATTTCCCAAACCACTTATCTTTATAATCCAAGCTGAAATCCAGGTCCAAAAAGGCGTCTTCTAAAGAAAAGAAGTAAAAGGAATATTAATAGCGTTTTAAAGATAAAGAAAAACAAAATAAATTCACAAGAAAAAAAGCAAAAGGAACGTTAATGGCATTCCAAAGATAAAAAACAAAAACAATCTCACATCATCTTACCTTAATAACCCAAGCTGAAATCCAAGTCCAGGAAAGCGTCTTCTAAAGAAAAGAAGCAAAAAGAACGTTAATAGCATTCTAAGATAAAGAAAAATAAAAAAAAATCCTACAAGAAAAGCAGCAAAAAAAACATTAATGGCATTCTAAAGACAAAGAAGAAATAAAAACAATTTCTCACACCACTTACCTTCATAATCTAAGCTGAAATCCAGGTCCAGGAAGGCGTCCCCTAAAGAAAAACAGCAAAAGAAATGTTAATGACGTTCTAAAGACAAAAAAGAATCCCCACACCACCTTACCTTTATATTCCAAACCGAAATTCAGGTCCAAGAAAGCATCCCTTAAAAAAGAAGCAAAAGGAATGTTAATGGCGTTCTAAAGACAAAGAAAATCAAAAACAATCCTCCACACCACCTTACCTTTATAGCCTAAACAGAAATCCAGTCTAGGAAGGCGTCCCCTAAAGAAAAGTAAAAGGAATATTAATAGCATTTCAAAGATAAAAAATGAAAACAATCCCTACACCACCTTATTTTCATAGCCCAAGCAGAAATCCAGGTCCAGGAAGGCGTTTCCTAAAGAAAAGAAGCAAAAGGAACATTAATGGCATTCCAAAGACAAAAAAGAAACAAAAATAATTTCCCACACCACTTACCTTTATAACCCAAGCTGAAATCCAGGTCCAAGAAGACATCCCCTAAAGAAAGAAGCAAAAGGAACATTAATAGCGTTTCAAAGACAAAGAAAACAAAATAAAATCACAAGAAAAGAAGCAAAAGGAACGTTAATGGCATTCTAAAGACAAAGAAGAAACAAAAATAATTTCCCACATCACTTACCTTTATAACCCAAGCTGAAATCCAGATCCAAGAAGGCATTCCCTAAAGAAAAGAAGCAAAAGAAACATTAATAGCGTTCTAAAGACAAAGAAAAACAAAATAAAATCACAAGAAAAGAAGCAAAAGGAACATTAATGGCGTTCTAAAGACAAAGAAAAACAAAATAAAATCACAAGAAAAGAAGCAAAAGGAACATTAATGGCGTTTCAAAGACAAAGAAGAAACAAAAACAATTTTCCACACCACTTACCTTTATAGTTTAAGCTAAAATCCAAGTCCAGGAAGGTGTTCCCTAAAGAAAAAAAGTAAAAGAAACATTAATAGTGTTCCAAAGACAAAGAAAAATAAAATAAAACTACAAGAAAAGAAGCAAAAGGAATGTTAATGGCATTCTAAAGATAAAGAAACAAAAATAATTCCACACCACCTTACCTTCATAATCCAAGCCGAAATCTAAGTTCAGGAAGGTATCCCTAAAGAAAAGAAGCAAAAGGAACATTAATGGCGTTTCAAAGACAAAAAAGAATCCTCTATACCACCTTACCTTCATAACACAAATCGAAATCCAGGTCTAAGAAGACATTCCCTAAAGAAAGAAGCAAAAGAAATGTTAATGGCATTCCAAAGACAAAGAAAATCAAAAACAATCCTCTACACCACCTTATCTTTATAGTCCAAGCAGAAATCCAGTCCAGGAAGGCGTCCCCTAAAGAAAAGAAGTAAAAGAAACGTTAATGACATTCCCAATGATAGAAAAAACAAAAACACCAACTTACCTTCATAGCTCAGCTGAAATCCAGGTCCAAGAAGGCATTCCCTAAAGAAAAGAAGTAAAATAAAAGTTAGTAACGTTTTCAAGACAAAAAAGGAAGAATTTGCACTTACCGTTTGAATTCAAGCCGTTCAAGTCAAAATTTGAAGTAAAAGGTCCAGGAGGAGAGAGAAAGAGAGAGAGAGAGAGAGAGTATGTGTGTGTGTGTATATATATATGTGTGTGTATGTTATGAGTGTATGTGTGTGTGTGTGTGTGAATAAGTGATGTAATACATAGATTTAATATTATCATTATTGTAAAAAAAAAAATAAAAATAAAAAATAATTTATGCTTACTTAAGTTGAATTTATCATTCAATTTGTTTACTAGATATCTGATGATCCATCCGGTTAATCCAGTGATATAAATGGATCAATCTAAATCTGGTCAAATTTCGGATAGATGACTAGATATTCAGATTGATCAGATTTGGAGCACACTTCTATGATAAACTATTTAACTTAAATGATTAAAAAATAGTTTAAGAAGAATGATAAAAAATCATTTGACTTAAATTATAAGAAAAATAATAAGTAATTGTTTGACTTGAATGAAAATAAAAAATTATTTAAATAGAATTATAAGTAATCATTAACTTGAATAATAAAAGAAATCATGTAAGAAGAATAATAAGTAATCATTCGACTTGAATGATAAAAATCATTTAAAAAAAAATTCATTTAAGAAAAATGATGATAAATTATTTGATTTAAATAATAAAAAATCATTCAAAAAGAATGATAATAAATTGTTCAACTTGAATGATTAAAGAAATAATTGTTTAAGAAGAATAATAAAAATCAATTAATTTGAATGATAAAAAAATCATTTAAGAAAATGATAATAAATTGTTTAACTTAAATAATAAAAAATCATTCAAGAAAAATGATAATGAATTATTTGATTTAAATGATAAAAAATTATTCAACTTGAATAATTATTTTCTATAAAATTGCAGTTTTAGGATTACAAGTTTTAATTTATATAGGACAATCCTAGATTCGCAGTCCTATAATTTATTAAATTAGACTTCATAAAACTGTTTAAGATCTAGTATAATAGGATTTTTTATTATTATAATTAATTTAATTAAAAATTCTTTATTTTTATATTTTTAATTAAAAAAATTTAGTAACTTTTTTATTTAATTTAATTATACTTAAAAATTTATCATAAATTTTTTATTAGAGGTAAAGGTTTAGATAAAACCTAATTATTACATTTGATCTGAATCTAAAATCTAAGCGATATTAGTTATGCCTTAATAAAAAATTTTCAAAATGTCTGATTGAGTCCAAATCTGAAATTCAATCTGAATTAATTGAAATTCTCTGAAACTTAATTATTCATATTATTACGTTAGTTTCGTAACTTCAAATAAAATCTCAAAAAGGGTAAATAAAACTAAGACAATTACTTAAGGAATCATAGATGAGGATTCACAATAACGTCGAAGAATTATTCTCAATATAAATCACGTGAAATAAACACAAAATAAACACAAAATAATTTAAAGATATTTCAGAGATTACGCTTTAGAGACTCTAAGTTAATACAGCGAATTAATATAATATTATATAATAAGTTTCTAATAAAAAGGATTGCACGAATACAAAGGGTCACAGATAATTTATAATAGTTTTAATCTTGTCATTGCTAAGACTCAAAGAAAATACAGAGATATTTATACATGTTGAATAAATAATAAAATAAACTAAATTAAATATATCGAAGAAAATAAAGTTATTATTTCACCAGGCAATAAAGTTGCCATGTTAATAAAATTGCCAGATTTGCAGGCAACTAAATAGACATCTATGATCTACATAATTATCAAAGGTAATAAAATTAACATCTAAGGATTTGCATAATTAATTAATGACAATAAAATGGACAAAATGACCTTCATCAAAGATCTACATGGCAATAAAATTGACTTCATATTCTACTAATTAAATCTATCTAAAATTTTACCCATCACAACGTGAAAATCAAATATATAATATTATTGATAAAACAAATATTAATGCATTCACATCTTACAAAATGGAAGCTAATTTAAATACTTTAACTGATGATACTTCATTACCTAAATGAAAAGTTAGTGGAAAACTTAAATAAATAGTTTGAGAAACA